GCCTGCTCCCGGCTCTGCCGGCCTCAGCTGATGGACCCTGGACAAACCACTAACCCTGTCCTGGATCCCACCTCCTTGTGTGTTAACAGGGAGAGAGTAAAACCCATTACATAGCGTGGTTGTAAGGCTCAGAGAGCAAATTATGCAGAAGATCATGCAGAAAAATTCTGCTGGTTCCTGTTTTCGAGGATACACACCGAAATTAGATGCGAATCTCCAAACGTTAGAGGCCAAGGTGCATATTAAAATGTAGTGCTGTCATTGTTGCTGTGGTTATAGTCATCCTGGCACTTTCCCAGTTTCCTCAGCAACCCCTGTTTAATTCTTTCAGCCACCCTTTGAGGAAGGAAAGGAAGGGAAAATAATAATTATTTTCATTGTACACAGGAAAGAGAGGCAGAGAGGTTAAATGAAGTGTCAAAGGTTACCTGGCTAATTTGCGTGACAAGGCTCAACCCAGTGCAACAGAATTGAATTTCCACTTTTTTTTTAAATTTTTTATTTTCTCCTACAGTTTATAAAGCAAATTATCTGAGCTCAGATTTTTTTAAAAATATATGTTTTTATTGATTTTTAGAGGAAGGGAAAGGGATAGATAGAAACATTGATGGGAAACATCACCGATGGGCTGCCTCCTGCACACCCCCTGCTGGGGATCGAGCCCCCAACCCCGGCATGTGCCCTGACCGGGAATCGAGCCGTGACCTCTTGGTTCCTAGGTTGATGCTCAGCCGCTGAGCCACAGCGGCTGGGTGAATTTCCACTTCTTCGGAATAGGTGCCAATGCAACCTGGAGTCCTACAGATGAATTGTAAATACGACAAAGTATGGGAAGGAGACATGTAGATTAGGAGACTTAAAAGACACCATCTAGGGTTCTTTCTGGGGGTGATGAGAATGTTCTAAGATTATGGCGATGGCTTCACAACTCTGTAAATATGCAAAGTCATTGATCTGTACGCTTTAAATAGGTGAATGTTATAGTATGGAAATTATATCTCAACAAAGCTGCTAAGAAAAAGACATCAGGGTTTTTTTTAAAATATGTTTTTATTAATTTCAGAAAGAGGAAGGGAGAGATAGAAACACTAATGAGAAACATCGTGACCTCCTGGTGCATGGGACAACACTAAATTGCACCACACTGGCCGGGCTTTTTTTTTTTTTTTTTTAATGAGCAAGACTAAAGTCTTTTGGCTAGAGATGCATAACTCTAAAGAAATGCAAGGAAGTGATCACTATAAAAGTCAGGATTCCTGCCCTGGCTGGTGTGGCTCACTTGGCTGAGGGTCAGGTCATCCCATGCACCGAGGTCATGATCCAATTCCCGGTCAGGGCACATGCCCAGGGTGTGGGGATCCATGTTTCTCTCTCACATCAATGTCTCTCTCTCTCTCCCTTCTCTTTCCTCTCTCTCTCAAATTAATAAAAACATTTTTTTTAAAAAAAGTCAGGATTCCTTTTAGGTGGCAGGAGGGTTTTGTGATTGGGACTGGGTACATGAAGGAGCTCCTAGGGTGGGTAGCAAGCTTTCATTTCTTGACCTGAAGGGTCGTTAACAAGGCTGTTCACCTTATAATCATTCATTCTGCTCCACACACATTTTGTGTAGTTTTCTATATCTATTCTGTTATATATAATACAATTATTTTTTAAAAATAGGAGAAATCAAGTATGAAATGATGCAGACTATAAGATGGCCCCCCACACACACCTGATTTTTTAGGGGGGCACAAATTATGCTCAGAGACTGAATTTGTCTTTGACAATAGTTTATTTAACATTGCTTCCCTGCGGGAATTATAAAAATTTCACAAGCCAGGAGCATACAGGATAATGTCTCTTCATAAGCCAATAAAGAAATAGCATACTCTGAACCCATGATAGATCAAGGGGAGACGGCGAAAGGAATAAAGTCCAAATTTAGTTGAGATATACCTTGATAGGGGTTGATGCTTGGGAGAGAAGGCTCAGCCAGCCGAGAGCTGCCAGCGCAAAAGCGGCAGTCCCTTGTTGCAAATGCACGTTGCTAGGGAACGATGGCAACAGTGTTGGGCAAGATGATCTCTTCGGGAGGCGGCTGCAAGGCTTTTGCCCCTGCTGGTAAGAGTCACCTTTACCACAGTCGGAGTTAATGTCCCAAAGTTAATTTAGGTCAGCAAAGTGTTGCATTGCCCAGACCCAAGCTCTCAGATAGGCCTCTCAAACTCTCGGTATTTATAGTCTTTTTCCCCCCATTTAGTATTTACTTAGCATTCGATTGATGGCTCTGTAAGGGGAGAAATATATTGGAAAAAGAAAAATACAATTTTTTTCCCCCATTCTGAAAACTCTCAGATTCTACTTTGCCACAGAGATAGCAAAACGTTTACATAGGCATGTGCACGCACATACACGAAAACCCCAAATGTACCGCCTTTGAAGGTAAGAAATACCAAATTTAACTAAGTATTTAGAAGTGATAGGGGGCTGGGAAGAAAAGGTGAGGACACCTGAAAAGTAATTTTATTTTGGTTTAACCTTAAATTTGTCAGTCGCATCTTTCCTTGAACAGCCTGATCTTCTGTTTGAGACCCAGCTACACTCATATTGGAAAAAGTGAAAACTACTTAGTGATTCCACTTAGGATTTATAACCATACAATTCAGATGTTCTGAGTATAAGCCTATGCATATCCAGATAAACTTTAGGAACTCTTAATATCTCTTCTTTTACAGAAATTCTCTCTCTACCCTGATGTACTTTGGTTAAAAGCCAGAAAGCTAACTTCCTTAAATGAGACCCCCCCAAAAAATTTCCAGCTACAACTGTAAGTAAGAAATCTTTCTTTTAAATAAAATACCAATTTTCTCTAATGTACCATGAATTCTAATTTGATGGGTTTTACTCTTACCATTTCACTTCAGACAGTGACCTGTACATTTGTTTAAGCAATAATAATTAAGTTCCTCTTCTGATCTTTTTAGAATAAAAAAATTAAAATGTGTTGAAGGTACTACTAAAAATATTTCACCTTTTGAATATGGCCTCTGCAATGAAATATATAGAAAATTTTCTAATTAACTTTCAAATCTTCCCAGAACCTCTATTTCAAAAAATATCATCTTGAAATTATTTGAATGAATGCTCTACTGAAAACTAATTCACAAGTGCCTGTGACCATAATCATCAGTTTACTTTTTTTTTTTTTTAATATATCTTTATTGATTTCAGAGAGGAAAGGAGAGGGAGAGAGAGAGAGAGAGAAACATCAATGATGAGAGAGTCATTGATCAAGCCCACAACCCGGGCATGTGCCCCGACCGGGAATCGAACCCCGATCGCCTGGATCCCAGGTCGACGCTCAACCGCTGAGCCACCCCCAGCTGGGCCATAATCATCAGTTTAAACAAGTCTCCTAAATATGTTTTGCATCAACTTTCTTGACTGTAAGATGTCGATAATATGGAAGCATTTTTGATATACCAGAACATTTAATGACATCAGTTTCCTATCAACACACAAGTCATTTGGTGATGATTATATTGGCCCCTTCCTTCCACTGGTTGTCAGGAAGCTCGTCCACTCCAGGCGCCCATGGTTTCCACTGTATCATTGTTCTGGCCAGAATTAGTTCATTTTCAGCCTGAAGAATCACCTCTTCTATTTGGCCACCTTGAAGTTGGTCTTCTAATTTTCTAACATTCGGTTCTGCTTTAACCAGCTCCTCACTTCTGATCTCTTCTGTATACTTCCTATAGGCTGCACTTTTAGGGATTTGCTCAAGAACATCACGAATCTTTGTGTACAATATTCTTAGTCTCTCATGCAGACTCTCACATACGCTAGTCCCACAAGGCCAGTAGTCTTTCTGCAGCAAGCTTGTCATGACGGTGCCGCCGAGCCAAGCACCAGTATTTACCAGCTGAGTACCAGGGTTTATAGTCTAAGTGTCCTCTTGCCATAGTTGCTTCTCTACCTGTTCTCATCAGTGAGCCCCCAGCAGGGGCCCTCAGTGGCTACTGAGTGCTTATCAACAACAGGTGAGGTAATGACGTCCTGACTTCGTTCTTCTATATCAAAACAACTTTCCTTCTAAAAACATTTTTTTTGTCTTTGCCATAAACAGGATTAAAACAACTTCACTTAAGTCATAAATGAATGGATTTAAAATCATACCAAACCAGGGGGGTGGGGCAGGGTGGAGGTGGTCAATGGAGAATAGAGGGGGACATCTGTAATATTTTCAACAATAAAGGTATATTAAAAAATAAAATAAAATCATATCAAACCAATACTCAACAGAAACTGAAGCCCTCAGTCTGACAACCCATGAGAAACTGAATGTGGCCAACAACCCGGTGAGTTTGGAAGCAGATCCTTCCCCAGTCGAGCCTCTGATGACACCATGGCCCCAGCTCACACCCTGACTGCAGCTTGTGAGACTCTGAAGCAGAGGCCTCAGCTATGTTGTGCCCTGACTCCTGACTCACAGAATCTGAGGCAATAAATGTGTGTTGTTTGAAACTACTACATTTGTGGTAATATTACACAGAGATTCATAACATGCCCCTTGCCTTTGAGGGTCCCTAAAACTACTCTTAGCTTCAGTGATTCACTAGGACTCACAGAACTCAGCAAAGCTGTTACAATCTTGGTTAGGTTATTACAGTGAAAAGATACATATTAAAATCAGTAGTACCAAAAAAGGCACATAGGGCAGTAGCCAAGAGACACCAATTATCCTCTCCCAGTGGAGTCAGACGGGCAATGAATGCTTAAGTCTCCCAGCAACGATGTGTGACAGTGTGCAAGGAGTACTGTCAACCAGAGAAACTCACCCAAGCCTTGGTATCCAGGGCTTTTAGGGGAGGAGGTTGGTCAGGTAGACAGGCCTCACCAACCTTAGTCTCCAGCTCCCCAGAGGTCAGGCTGATGACACCTCCTGGTCCAAGGCCTCCAGATGAACAAAGTCACTCTTACGAGTCAGGATATTCTGAAGGAAAGGAGATTATCTTCCAGGAGCCAAACAAGGGGCCCTTCCTTTCTTTGGACTGTGCAGACTTTTAACATCCCAAGTCTGCAGAGTTAACCCTTTACTGCACAGCCCTTAACTTCAAGAGTGGGATTCTTCTAAGTTGCTACCCTGCTTGAAGGCAGACAGAGAGGACAGAAAACCCCCGTGTTTTAAGCTTTATACCTTGACTGGCCTTATCGTCAGGGAATTTCCAGGATGTAAACCATAGAGCCAAAAGGCAGGGTGCAGGGGCGAGGAGGCGGACACCGGGCACTCGCACAGAAGCTTCTCCTGATTAGCCACTGAATAGAAGGCCAGCTTCCCCTGCTCAAGATCCAGCCAGATGCCCACCACCTCCGGTTTTTCTGAGCCAAGGACAGTTTCTTTGACCATGTGCCACATAGAAAGCTGGCTGGTTCCCTTCCACTCTACACACCAGGAGTCCCTGGTCCTTCCCAGGATCTGGTCGCGACTCATCCCCCAGGAAGCCACCCCAATTGCCCAGTGACTGCAATGCTGAGTGTCCACTTCCCAGTACTTCTGCCCAGAAGAGAAGGCTTGGGCACATAAGACCTGGCAGGTTGTAAACCTGTCACGGCTCCAGGAATAAAGCTGTGGCATGTGAGACACAGTCACCTTCCGGCGATCCTGGGACACCTCCAGGCTACAGGAGAGGCTCTTGAGCTCAAAGGTTGGACTGATGGCCCCTGAAAGACAAAAAACAAGAACATAACCAGCCAGCTCTGATTGTCCGTGCTAAGAGGTCTTCAAATAGCAAGAAGCAGCTTTGTTTCTTTGGGTGTGATAAAGAAATATTAGAACATCAATTTGCTGTTCTCTGTACATACCCCTGATGTTGTCTACCAACAATACCCCTTTCCCTCCTTAATCTCTACATACCATTAACCTGCTTTCAGGAAGCCCTCTCTGAATCCCACCCAGAAAAGTCACCTCTTGCTTTTCTCAATACCCCTAGTGTTTCCCCTGTTCTCTAATACACCATCTGCTACCTACAGGACAGGGACATGACCACTGCTTATTTATACCTCTCTAGTTATGCATAAGCTTCCTGATTAAGGATCATGTCTGATTCATTTTGAATATTTTCTACTGTTTCCTATTGAGCAAGTAAGTGCTAACACATAGCCTCTCTACTCTAGGCACACATTTAAAAACATTCACTCATTTAACCCTCGGGACAATCCCTCGAGGGAAGTAAGGACTATTATTATCTCCATCTTACAGATGAGGGAACTGAGGCCCTGGGAGGTTATGTAACTTGTCTGAGATCACACAGCGAATGAGCACAGGAGCTGGGAGTCAAACCCAAGCAGTCTGGCTCCAGGATCTGTCCTCTCAGTGACTGCTCCAGACTGGGACAGCGACAGTAACTGATCAGGTTGGGGAAGGGGCAGTTGGCTGCATATGTTGGCCCCAGCATGGATGCCCACAGGTTGCCTGGGCTCGGAGTCCTCGTGGGTCTGGCGTAGCTTGGAATTTGGGAGTCTCTAATTCCTTTTGTCTTAGTCATCAGCTCCCCATGTGGAGGGACCTAGTCTGGGGTGGGTAGTCCTCGCAGCAGGGAGATGGCCACAGCATACTCTCACAGCTCCTCTCTGCAGCAGGCCAAGCCCAGGTTTGAAGCAGACCACATACTTACACTGAGCAAACCTGGATGCAAGGGGGCCCTGGCCAGTCGGTGGGCACGAGGAGGAAGAAAGACCTTCCGGGAGTTTAACTAAGGAATCAAAAAAATCGGGAGGGTAAAAGTCCCATTAAAAAGAGGCAAGTAGAAGGTGTCTAAGCATCATGATCAGAGCACATGGCGGGTCCTCCTCATGGGCAACACATTGTAGCGTCAGGGCTTGACCAGGCGGTGCAGCCAGCTCAGGTTCGTCAGCCCCCGGGTTCTCGCCATGCACTGTCCCACTGTTTCCTCACTGACCTCTACGCATGTTGCTGGCTCCCTGCTCATCTCTGTGTTTTAAGAACCAAGCCTAGTGCCAGGTATATAAGAAGTGTCGCATGCACAGTTATCAAATAAATCAACTAACATCGTTCCAGGGGATCACGGTGCCCCGACACCCATAATATCCATGAACGCCATGTCAATGCTTTAAACTGTTATAAAAACTGGGGAAGCCCAGCTGGCGGGGCTCAGCGGTTGAGCGTTGACCTAGGATCCAGGCGATCGGGGTTCGATTCCCGGTCAGGGCACACGCCCGGGTTGTGGGCTCGATCCCCAGTGGGGGGCGTGCAGGAGGCGGCCGATCAGGGACTCTCTCATCATGGATGTTTCTCGCTCTCTCTCCCTCTCCTTTCCTCTCTGAAATCCTTAAAGATATATTTTAAACAAAAAAACTGGGGCACATGAGTTGGTGTGAGATTCATCTCAACTCACAGACATCTCCTGCTCCCCTCTCAATGTCCTGAAGTTTAATTGTTAACGTAAAGCTACGGTGTGTTCCAATGCCCATGGAGGAGGCACCAGGAGAGCAAGGAGAGGGAACGCCCGAGCGTGGGCCACGGGGGAAACATCTTCCCCCGTCTGTGTCTTGAAGTGACGGCAGCATCAAGTCAGCCTAAGAGCAAGACTGAGAAGAGACAAAAGGCCCCGTGCAGGGTGCGGGTGGTGCGGCCAGGAGCGCAGCAGAGCCATCCTTCAAGGAGCCGTGATCGAAATTCAGGTGGGCACCGCTGTTCTCGTGGTGCGCTGATAGGGTTTTTACTTGTTGGTTTAAAAAAATTTTTTTTTTAATTTTTCAATTACAGTTGACATACACTATTAGTTTCAGGTGTACAACGTAGTGATTAGACATTTCTATAGCTTACAAAGTGATCACCCTGATAAGTCTAGTAGCCGCCTGATAGCACACCGTACATAGCTCTCACGCTATTACTGACTCTAGTCCCTGTGCTGTGCTTTACATCCCGTGGCTGTTTTTATAACTGGAAATCTGTACTTCTGAATCCCTTCACCTTATTCCCCCACCCCCATCCCCTTCCAACTGGCCGCCATTACTTTGTTCTCTGTATCTGTGAGTTTGTTTCTGTTTTGTTTATACATTTGGGGGGGGCGTTATATTCTACATACAAGTGAAATCACGGTATTTGTCTTTCTCTGTCGGACGTACTTCACTTAGCATGATACCACCTAGGTCCATTCATGTTGTCACGAATGGCAAGATTCATTCTTTTTTTATCGCTAATATTCCATTGCACAGAGGTGCCACTCTTCTTTACCTACTCACCTAGCCATAGACACTCAGGTCGCTTCCAGATCTTGGCTACTGTGCATGACGCTGCAGTGAGCACAGGGGTGCATATATCTTTTAGAATCAGTGTTTTGAATTTCTTTGGGTATATACTCAGAAGTGGAATTGCTGGGTCATACGGCAGTTCCATTTTTAATTTTTTGAGGACTCTCCATGCTGTTTTCCACAGTGGCTGCACCAGTTTACAATCCCACCAACGGCGCACACGGCTTCCCTCCTCTCCACATCCTCGCCAGTATTTGTTCGTTGCTTTATCGATGTAGCCATTCTGACGGGTGTGAGGTGGTATCTCACTGTGGTTTTAATTTGCATTTCTCTGATAATTAGTGACGTTGAGCATCTTTTCATATGTCTATTGGCCATCTACATGTCCTCTTTGGAAAAAATGTCTATTTAGGTTCTCTGCCCATTTTTTTAATCAGGTTGTTGGGGGGGGGGGTTAAGTTGTATTAGTTCCTTATATATTTTGGATATTAACCCCTTATGGGATTATCTTCTCCCATTCAGTAGGCTCTTTTCATTTTATTGTTCATTTCCTTTGCTGTGAAAAAACTTTTTAATTTGATGTAGCTCCATTTGTGGTTTTTTGTTTGTTTTTGGTTTTGGTTGTGTGTTTTGTTTTGTTTTTTGTTTTTTGGTTGTTTCCCTTGCCCAAGGATACATATAGGACTTTTACTTAATCATAGTGTTAAAAAATGTTTTTAGCCAACATTCACCATTTTTTTTCTCCTACTGATGGGGGAAAATAATCTACACTTGACTGGCCCTTGAAGGTACTTAGAAAAAAAAGGATACATGATGTATATTCATAAATGCTGAGTATGTAACTATTAAATAAAACACTGGTAACTATTAAAGAGATGAAGTTTTATGACACATTAGTTTCTCTGGGTGTAAACTCGATTGTTTACCCACTGGTTATGATAGGTTTTTGCAAAAGAAAAAAAATTAAGCTTCATTAAGCAGCTAATTTTACAGAAATGCTTATTATATAAATTTAAGTAGTTAGAAAATTAGAGAAATTTCTTTATAATAGAATCTAAAAAAATCTCATTTCTCTAATAAGAGAATAAACTTCAGGCTTTGTCTTTTTTTCAAAAGTAGCCAAGATCCTTTGGGGATAGAAAATAATAATAACAGGAAGAGGTCTCTTACAGAACTCTCCTGTTTAACCAGGCTTGTTCTGCATAAAATGTGATTTCCATGGCAGCCCGTGGTGTACTCACGTAGGGCCAAAGGAAATCATTGTGGTGAGGCAGTCAAATTGCTTAGCAGCTGTTAAAGCACTGACTCGAAGAACACTAATCTATTGTCTTAAAAGCAATCTTGTGACAACTTCAGGAATGATGTTTCAGTACATAGGGATATATCCAGATCCTTTGTTTTAAAAACACTCTGGACTAGTCCAAATAAGCAAAAACAACATAATCACAAAGAAAGAACTATATAGTACTTATTACAGCAATACTTAAATTTTATAAGTTGAATTTTTAAGAATACTTTAAAATGTATACTTAATTCTTCGAAAACTTTAAAACAGAATTATCATATGATCCAGCAATTCCACTTCTGGGCACATATTCAAAAGAACTGAAAGCAGGATCCTGAAGAGTTATTTGCAGGCCCATGTCCATAGCTGCATTACTCACAACAGCCGAGAGGTGGAAGCAACCTGCTGTCCATTGTCCGTTAAATGGATAAACAAAATTCGGTGTATACATACAATGGGATATTATTCAGCCTTAAAGAGGAAGAAAATTCTGACCCGTACTACAACTCAGATGACCCTTGAGACCATTATACTAAGTGAAATAAGCCAGTCATAAAAACACAATAGCTGTAAAATTCCACTTATATCTGGCATCTAGAACAATCAAACTCATAGAAACTGAAAGTGGAATGGTGGTTGCCAGGGCCTGGGGAATAGGGAGTTATTGTTTAAACAATATAGTTTCAGTTTTGCAAAATTAAAAAGATCTGGAGCTTGGGTGCACAACAATATGAATGTGCTTAACACTATTGAACTATACGCTTAAAAATGGTTACGATCATGAATTTTATGTTATATGTGTTTTACCACAATTAAAAATTTTTTAAATTAAATGCATACTTAAAGAATTTTTTTAAATTTTAAAATATTTTTTAACTGATTTTATAGAGAGAGGAAAGGAGAGGGAGAGAGTGAAAAACATCGATCAGTTGCTTCCCTGTGGGAAATGAACCCACAACCTGGGTAGGTGCCCTGACCAGGAATTGAACCTGCAGCCTTTCCGTGCATGGGTCAATGCTCAACCAACTGAGCCACACAGGCCAGGGCATAAAGTTGCATGTTTTGTTAATAAAGACATTTACTAGTTAAAAATGAAAAGCAGCCTATTTCTGAATCTCCTCAGATAGATGAGTGGTAAGCTAGCAAAATCTGGTCCAGATTCTAGATGTACAGGTCTTAGAAAATGAGTTTCTATCTCATCAAGGGCCTTACACCTCCATTCACTTCCAAAAACATAGCCAGCCACAAAATACCTCAGTCCATTCCCTCCTCACTTACAACACCAGGGTGACAACGTAGCTGGGCTCTGGGATCATGTCCCCAAAAAACAAAGCCATTTCCCCCCCAACTTCCGTATTTAAGTCTCCTCTCCAAATAAAATCAACTCACCCTGCCTTTGTTCTTCAAGGCGCTCTTTCCCTGTGAAGTTTTCTCGTAATTTCCCTCGGATATCTTCTAGGTCATGCAGAATGTCTCTCATTTTTTCCTCAGGTGTGTTGGAAGTCACCGGCTTTGGAGAAGCCAAGGAATGGTCCACCCCACCAGAAAAAGACTATTGGTGAAGCATTTAAAAAAATAATAATAATGAAAGTCTCCTCAGGAATTCATCAAATAGCTTATTCCAGCTCTGCAACCCATCTATAATTTTCCACGTACCTCCTAACGAGTTTTTAAAAACATAATTAGGCCCTCAAAATACACACCTTGAAAACAATCTGGAATAATACATAGTACAGCAAAAGCATTCAAGAGCAGTAGGGTTATGGGTGATTTTCATTTATTTTCTTTAAACTGCTATGTATTTCCTAGTATTCTGTACAATAAATATTGATTTCTTAATACTGAAAAAAGTCATAAAGTTTGTAGGCCCATATAATAGGGGCTTTATAAAATAAATAATACAGTCACTGAGATAAACCACAAAGGCTAGATAATTGTCCCCAGACACTATCATTAGATCACATAGCTTCCCTGCAGTGGGAAAAAGTGTGAAGCACCCTGGAGGGGCTGATGTGGGCCAGTGAGGCTGGGGTCTGAAGAGCGAGGAAGAGCTGGGTGACACGAGATGGGAGAGGCAGGCAGGGATAGAATCCTGCAGGGCCTTGTGTGTTCTGTGAGGATTTGGGTCTTAATCCTGCACAGACTGACGTCACTGGAGTGTTTTAAGCAGATGAGTTACGCAACCACATGTGCATTTGAGAGGAGTCACTCTAACAACCATAAGCACAGCAGACTAGAGGGGGTAGAGTGGAGCAATCAGGAGGCTACTGTAGCAGTCCAGGCAAGAAATGGTCATAAACTTGGATTAGAGAAATCTCAAAGGAGCTCAAGGGTAGTAAATAGATTCCAGAGATGTTTCAGCAGGTGAGGGAAGACTTGACATGATTTCCAGGTTTCTGGCTGTGCCCTTGGAAAAGTAACAGTGCCAGTCAGGTGGAGAATTCAGAGGAGGAACAGTTTGGGGCATGTTAAGTGTCATGTGCCTTTTCGATACCAAGAGGAAAACATGAGAAGGAAGACACCAGCCTAGAGCTCAGAGAAGAGGCCAGGCTGGAGCTATGTTTGTGCTCACGAAAGGGAAGAAAAAGGGACCAGCCTTGAGGAATCCCAGCATTTCATTGCTAAGCAGAGGAGAGTGAGCCTGCGAAATGGACTGAAAAGGAGCAGCCAGAGAGAAACGGGGAGGCTGGAAGGCTTGTGGCGCAGCAGCAAGGATGAAGGTGGGCCAGCTGTGCCCAAGGCTACTGAAAGGTCAGTGAAGGTGAGGGCTAGAATGTTTGCAGATTCACACAGAGGCCGCTGGTGACCTTAAAGCTGGTTAGGTGGAGGGACAGGGGTGGAACCTAGGCCACCTGAAGCTTCCCTCCCTCACCTCAAGCATTCCAAACCTCCAGTCACCCCTGTTTGGCAGTAAAGAGAATGGTAAAAGATTGAGACAGTGCATCCTTCAACTGCAAACACCCTCATGTTGCTCCAGTTGGAAGCTGTCCCTAGCCCTGCCCCTTGCCATGTTCTTTCGTCTCCCAGCTGAGCCTACCATGCCCAGGATGTTCAGTTGGTTCTTTGGTCCAGATTCTGGGGGGTGTCTCTGATTCTGAAGGCTCCTGACAATGTCTACAAGCTGTTCCACCAGCTCTGCCAGCTCCTGGCCAACTTCCGTGACGCTCTTCGATGCCTCCGCCTTTAAAAGACCAAAGCAGAACACAAAGCTAGACCCAAGAATCAGCTCTAGGCAGAGGGCGAAAGCTGAGTAAAGGACCAGGCAAGGGAGTGACAAAAATATTCAGAGGACAAGGAGGGAAACTTCCCAAACCTTTTGCACGCCAGTTTCCCTTACCGATCGCCCAGTGGCCATAAGAGGAAACCAGCTAAACAGCTCCATTTAAAGAGCTGAATCTGCTCAGCTGCCTGGTTGGCATGGAACTAAGTTTTGCAGCCAACATATTTTGGCAACAATCTCTGGCAACAGTCATCAGAGACAGGTTGGGCACAGACCTCAATGGGGACCTCTGCATCACCTCCAATAGGGGTGATTCTACATAGAGTCACAGAAATATAAGGTGTTAATCATTCAGTTGTAAATAAACCAGAGTTTTTAAAACTTTGTTTTGACATTTGTCATATTTTAAATTTTGCTGGAACCTCAAAATCTAGAATTGACCCAGGACCTTTTTTTTTATCTCTTCAAAAGCCCTGGTATCCCCCAAATAGCATGTGTTTTGGAAGTCATAATCAGGTTATTTTAGAGAGGGAGGTGGTTGAGCACTGGTAACACTGTTTGCTCTTAAATTTCCAGTCCCCACTCATAAATATTCAAGCAGCTGGAACTCTGGAGTGGAGTCCTTACCCAGGCACCTGAGCAAATTAAAAACTTTTAAAAATAAGTCCATTGCTTTTTCTATCCATAAGACAAATGCACGTTTATTGTGGCAAATTTAGAAGATGCAGAGAATGAAGAAGAAGAAATGTTTTAAATCATCTAATACCCTACCATCCAAAGATGATCATTTTAATTTAAAAGCCAATGGAAAGTATATTCAATCACTATAAACTATATTAACAAAGAGTTTTAAGAACCTGAGGGACAATGCTATATTTATAATATAAAAGGAGAAAACAGGCTTTATTCAAAATTGCCCAAAAAATGAAAGCAACCAATATGTCCATCAAAAGGTAAATGGATAAACTGAGGTACATCTATGCAATGAAATATTTACTGAGCAATAAAAAGAAATGAGCTATCAAGCCACAAACCTTAATTTTGCTTTGTGAAAGAAGTCAGCCTGAAAAGGCTAGATACTGTATGATTCCAACTATATGACATTCTGGAAAAGGCAAAACTAAAGAGATAGTAAAAAGATCAGTAGTTGACAGGAGGAGCGTAGGGGATTTTCAGGGCAGTAAAACTGTATAACCATAATTGTAGATACATGACCTCAAACATCTGTCAAAAGTCATAGAACTGTACAACGTGAAGAGTGAACCCTAATGTAAACAACAATGTAAATAATTAATATTGGTTCATCAATTGTAACAAATGTACCGCACTAAAACAAGGTGTTAATAATAGGGGAAACTGTGAGAGGTCTATAGGAACTTCCTGTACTATCTGCTCAATTTTCTGTAAACCTAGAACTGCTCTAAAAAATAAAGTCTATTAATTCATTTTAAAAAGGGAGAGAGAGAAAGAGAACCTGGCTATACAACAGGACCTCAGCTCTGTTTAAAAGGACATCAGAGACCCACCGAAGGATGTCGTGAGCAGCTCCCAGCTCTCACCCACCCCACACTCAGAAACATCAAAAAACAAGCAGAAATTGTCAGAAACAACTTTGTCAGAACTCCGGAAAACACTGACTCAAAAAAAAGAGCAACCTGGCAGTAGAAAAGCTTTGTGGTGTTTTTACTTGTCCTTGCCCCCTCACTGGCTCCCTAACGGTATTCAGGATTCCCAGCCTGGGACCCTGGTCCTGGGCCTGGACAGAGAGCAGAGCACCCTTTATTCACAAATTGTCCCGTATGTCTGTTCCAACCTGGCTGGGGGCTGGCCAAAGGAATGGCACAGGGTCCCCAACTCTGTCTCACCTGACACCGAGCTCAGGCCAGAGAGGCAGTGAGGCAGGGCTCACAAAGGCGCAAGCTGAACAAAAACTTACAGGTGCCCAGGGCAAAAGATGATGGTAGAGACACCAAGTCCCAGGAGCAGAAGCTGGGGAAACTGGGCCTCTCCTACTCTGAGAACAGATACTTGTACACCAGCGTTCACTACAACATTGCAACAACCCACAGGTGGCAACAACCCAAATGCCCATGGATGTATGAATGGGCCCTCACAAGTGTGGTACACACATACAAGGGGCTGTTACTCAGAAAGGAATGAAGGCTGGACACATTAACGACATGCACAAACCTTGAAAACATAATCGTCAGCGAGAGAAGCTAGACACAAAGGGACAGATGTTGTATGATCCCATTTATATGAGAATCTAAAGTAGGCAAATTCACAGAGACGGCAAGTAGACGAGAGGCTGCCCGAGGCTGGGCGGGAGGAGGGGTGAGGTTATTGCTCAGCGGGCAGAGTTTCTGTTCCAGGCGATGACAAAGTCCTGGAAATAGGGGTGATGGCTGCACGGCATTGTAAAAACAACTACAGCCACGGAACTATACACTTGAAAACGGTTAACATGGCACATTTTGTTACATATATTTCACCACCAAAAAAAAAAAGAAAA